GTCTGATGGCCCCACATGGATGCTGACCTCGTGCTACATGACTCCCACATTTATTTCGGAACATCCATGGAGATGGGGCCAAATGAAAATCATACAGTGGTCTATTTCAGCAAGTTTCGTCAAGGCAACGGTGCACACCTGCAATTCCGGCCAATTTTATCTTTTTTTGGCGATGTGCACAAGTGCCGCGAGTGCCAGTCGCTGAGGTGGAGTACATCAACAACTGTTCGCATCTTCCATCGGCCACTGGAATTGAAATAGCTGCAGGACCCAAACCTGCACAGATTACACAGGTTTCCAGTTGGGATCTGTTGTTTAGATGTGGCATCATTTGGACAGTTGGAAGTGCATGCTCTTGCCACTGCCATAGATTCTACATGCCCCCCAGTATAAGTTGATTTATAATACTATAAACCCATGTAAGTATAGATACATCTAAACCACCAAAATAGTAAAACTGCATTTGAAAAAACAACTGTGAACAACTTACCTATCTTGGCAGCCCCCACATTGTTGATGGTTCGATTTAAGGTCATGGATCTGCTCTTGGAAGCGCATGCCGATTTGGCCCCTGTGCTGTGGATGGGAGCCATCCAAAATGGTAGGAAAGCCACACGTGCCATGGTCAAAACATGAATGTAGTTTTCCACATTGGGGAATGGTCATCAACCCATTCATGGGGATGCATGAGGCGGATGACCATATACCATGTGTTGATGGCTTCTGCACCACGCTGGAAGCTATCGACTTCAGACAGTCAGGTTTGATATGAGCACACACGGAGTTTTTGCAGGCAATTGTGCCAGTGACAGATTGGGTAGGCGGACCTTGCTGTCCCAGTTGTTGCAGCCCAAGAAGGTTTGTCCAAATTTGCTTCAGCATGGTTCCCCCTAATTCCATTTTCCCTATGTTGATGCCCGTTTTGATTGTTGAACTTGCCTAAGATGTTGAAGCCAGTTGAAGCCCAACTAAGTATGAATCGGATTGTTGTTCCCTTAAACGATATAATTATATATGTATATATATATATAAATAGATAGTCAGGTTAGTCATGGGTTGATCATTTTTTCCTGTCAAATGGCAGACCCACTCAGGATGTCGAAGACCAGCCCCAGATCAGTAGGGTTTTAGATCAGTAGGGTTTTCAGCATTCCCCAGAAATCAGAAAGAAGATGTTTCCTGAAAAAAAAAAGAAGGTGTTGGAAACATTTGAGAAAATTGGGGTAGGTAAACTCTCTTGTAACAAGCACTTGCCACTTGCCACTTGACCAAGTGCCTGTTGCAAAACCCCTTGGAAAATACTATTGCTACATTGCTGAATACTTAGTTGCATTTTGCTTAAGTGTGATTGCCTTAATTTTCCTGATTGACTGAGGTCTGGTATGGGCAAACTTTCTGCCCTGGGCACTTGATCGCTGGAATACTTTCCCTGCACTTGGCCCTTGATCACTTGATAATTTTAAATTCTTTTGCCTACCCTAAATTTTCTCAAATGTTTCCAAAAACTTCTTTTTTTTCAGGAAACATCTTCTTTCTGACTTTTGGGGAATCAAGGCAATACTAAAGCATATTTATAGATTTTTCCTATTAAACAAAAAAATCCTACTGATCTAGACCCTACTGATCTAGGGCTGGTCTTTGACATCCTGACCCACTTGGGACCAATTCCCCGCACCCAGGAGTTGCGCGATAAGAAGGGCAAGCGCGCTTTAGATCTTGCAGGACAGATGCCGGGGATGCTGGTGATGCCGGTGATGTGCTTGCAGGAAAAAGAGGGGCTACGTATAGCATCGTATAGAGCCATTAACCCCCAGAAAAAGGGGACAGTTTTTTACAACTACTGTAGTAGTTTCGTGCTAGGTTTTGAGCGTTCTAGCTTTGTGGGTGTTGTTATGCGACTGACTTCTAAGTGATTAAATGTCAGTGCCCGTCGTTCCTTGCACAGGAGCAAAGGCACATCACTTGCTGCTGACATACCACAATCAGTTGGAGTTGAGGAGGCTGGAGATTGAATGTCTTGATCCAATAGTAAGACAAAGCAAGACATCCAGGAGGTTGGTACCAGGAGGTTGGTACCAGGATGCTGACGTACCATCATCAGTTGGATATTGGTTCTCTGCAAACAGGATCATTGGTTCAGTGGACGGCATGAACCACGCCCAGGGTTGTGTGAGGGTGGCTACTTGATAGGGGCTTCACTGGCCGAAGCCCATGAATTTCCTAAATGATGATTTACAGTGAGAAAATATCGATTTGATGGCACGGCAAATCAGGTCGGAGATTCCTTATCCAGACCCACGCCAAATATTACCCATCATATAGGTCCGGTCCAGCCTTATCAATTCGGAAGGCCTTTGGTTTTTGTATACTTTGACACTTTGCACTGTGTGCCCAGTCACATATCATAGGGAGTCTGCCACCCCACGAAGGTGGCTAATAAGTCCTTATTACAGAGTGGTTGTTGGTGGTAAGGAAGCCCTTCCTGGCATGTTGCTGACTGAATCCCGATGAACATTCCCATACCATCCTGTACCAAAGAGTGATGTTCCATGATTCTTTATTGCCGTGTGGATGCTTAGCCATAGACGTAAAACTGTCCACACCTCACCAGTCTTTTTGTGAAAAACAAGTGTTGTCGTCCATAAATCAAATCACCTTTCCTGATCAACACCTCCATTTTGTTTGGTAAGTTCACGTCCCAGGCAGCAGCCGCCCGTGCGTCCCAAAGCCCCTGTAACGGGGGCACCGGCCGCGCCTCTTTCGCCTCCGTAACGGAGAGTGTCCAGCGCTAGCCCATCCTAGAAGGATTATGGCAACGAGGATAGAGACAGCAGGGATTTATATAGCCTCTGGTCAACTAACAGTTTACTAGGAAGATCTAGGAAGTCATGGCCTATTTATTTGAATTTGTTTGTGCCTTCACTGTGACCTCACTGGAATCATGGTGTATAGGGGAATCATCCCCAAATGGTCTGATTATTCCAGGTGGATGGAATATTATTTGTTACCCAGATTTATCGATGATATTCGATGATGATGTTGGTTTGATTGTTTGGTACTCATTGAGGTGATCCCAGTCAAAATCTAGAGGCAAACCATGTGGCTTTTACCACGCAAAAAGGTTTCAATTGTGCGTTTTCCAATCAATTCTTGGGATGATCTTGGTCACATATCCCACCATGAATGATGAATATTACATATATGGATGTGTTTTTATGCATATATATATATGTATATTATATATATATATGTATATTCTATATATATTTAAATATGCTATATATATATATGTATATTATATATATATATATGTGTGTGCGTGCATATATCATCAGTATACAGTATATGTTTAAAAATATATTAACCATTGCCAACCCATAGGTACCATTGAACCTCAGATCAGATATTTTTTGGGGGCCACGCCGTGTTTCACCCCCTGTGGGTTGTGATGCCGGGTTCAAGAGAAACTGTGGTAATGCAATGCTGCTTTGTGTTTTTTCTTTCTCCAAGCTTTATGGTTATGCATCTGATATCATATCATATCATATCATATCCTATCATGTCATATCATATCATATCATATATGCATGCATGCATACCTACATACCTACATACCTACATACCTACATACCTACATACCTACATACATAGCTACATACCTACATACCTAGATACATACCTACATACCTACATGCATACATGCATACGTGCATACGTGCATACATGCATACATGCATACATGCATACATGCATACATGCATACATACATACATATATACATACATACATACATACATTGATACATTGATACATTGATACATCGATACATTGATACATTGACTTAGCTTGATGTTTAGAGATGTGCGCGATACATGCATGTAAATTAGCACATATGTTGATACATGTGCCTGCAATTTTTTTTGGAACCATCCAGGCAAAGCACAAAACAACAACACATACGATATATATATATATATATACACATGTATTATTTATATACAATATATTATGTATTCTACACCTTTGCTAAATAATATGTTTTCTATATCTCATATATAGTTTACAGATGTATGCATGCTATTTTGCCAAAAAAAACGCGCTTACTATTTATACATACAAGTGTCCATACAGACACAATACCAGCATTGAAAATAGATTTCTCTTGGACCTAGGTTTTACTCCGGCTTCGCAGGGACATGCTGCATCCAGGTTTATTCGAATTCCGAAGGCTAGAGAAGTTTCCGAAGGGTAGTGGATTGAAGCAGGGCATCTCATTAATTGGAAAGAACTAGTTCCATGAAGCATGAGAGGCGTCTATAAATCTTTCAGAATTCGCCCAGATTCGTGGCAAATCTGGAGGCATCTGTGCCAGGGGCCTGTCATATCCTGAAGGGATCAGTTGCGAGTCCAAAAACATGTGGCATAGAGGTATGAGGGGCGGCCATGGTGGTGCGGTTCGAGGAGGGATGTGGAAGCTCTACAAGTTCAGGATGCAAACCAGTGCATCTATTGGACTCTGTGTCTAGAATGTTCATGTTGTCTCTTTGGTCTCTCCCTCCGCTGGCCTGCTGTTCCGAGAGGCAAAAGACTTGACTTGCTTCGATTTTGGAATGAAGGTTTTGCTTGTGTTGCTAAGAAAGTATTGCCCTCTGGTCAAATAACATAGATCCCGAAAATAACAAATGATTAGTGGAAACCAATCTTCCAACCCCTATCTGGCAGGCTCTATGTTAATTTACTGGAGGGCAACCGTTCCAATGTCCCTGTCCGTTTGCATCATATCCTCATATCCAGGTATTGATGTTGGCTGGAGTTTCTTCAGCGATATCCCAAAACGTTTTGAACCACAGTTTTTTCCACGAGTTTTGTTTAACCAAATTCCTATTGTTTGGTTCGTCTTACATGCAAACAGACACTGAGGTTTCGAAATAAATTGATTCCCCAATATCATCCCAAATGGCTCCGTCTTCGGGCTGTGGCTGTTTGACATCTTCACCAAGGACGAACCTGTCGGTTCAGCTGGCTTTGCCAAAGTCTACGAGGATGGGATAGGGTCATGACAGGAATACAAGTCAATAACTGTGATATATAGTTCTGGCCAACAAGCATGGGAAATGTGATAAGAACGTTGAGATCATGAGTAACAAAGCAAGTAGAATCGGGGTCTCGAAGGGGAAAACTACACCAACTGAGGTTTCGAAGAGACCCGGATTGTCCAACCTTTGAAGGTTGAACAGCAAAGCCCAATCCCTGGGGAGCAGCAAGCCGTACACATCCGTATAAAGCGTGCAATGTACATGATGCGCTTCTGCATCATCTTTGAGTTTTGAATCAAAGCGGGTTGATTTGTGGCAAAAATTGGGCACGACTTATTTTGTGGTACGGATTATTTGAGTTGGCATGATTGTCAACGTTTTTTGAGTGTTGAGCATGTAGTACCACTGCTCACAACAAAATTGTGCAAATGCTTTCAATTTCATATACATGCTATTACATTGTGATCAAACCATGATATTCCGTTTATGAACCACCCAACACATACATGTAATTATAATTTTATCTTGTTTGCTCCCGTGATGTTTTTTCAGAGGGGTAGGTCAACCACCAACCAGATTTTATCCAATGTGTTTCCCATGTTTTCCCATGTTCTTCCCGTGAAGTTCCAACAAAAGTCAGGACTCACAGTGGCGGGAACCAGAAGATGTGTGGCGGAGCAGATACCATGCCGGACATGCCCAGATGGGTTCCAGCATCGGGACCTCATATGCCTTGAAGTGAACTTGACCAGATATATGGGTATAGTGTTTTATATGTATATATATATATACACATCCACATATATATATACATGCATATACAAGAATATACAGTTTTTTTTTAAAAAAAAATTACACATGCACACGCACACACACAAATATATATATATATATGTATATATATATATATGTATATATATATGTATATATATATATATATGTATATACATACATATGCGTGTGTATGTGTGTATGTGTGTATGTGTGTGAAGATATGTTTTAAAGGGTATGAACATGTGCGAGACATTTTTTAATAGATTATAACATATGTGTCTTATGTCTGGGTGTTTTGATTTACGCTTGTAGAGATGTACTTTTCTGTAGTGGTCTTTTATTTTGTGTGAATCAACTGAACTGAGTTTCCTTCCAAATCAACGTTGCCAAAGATCAGACGATAGACTTTACCTGCAATGTCATTTCCCAGATGAAAATGACAGCTGGCTAAGAAACCAAAAGTATCCGAAGTCGGTTGTATATATCAGATACCCTTTGGTAAACTAACATAGCTATTGAACATGGCCCATGCATAGTTGATTTACCCATTAGAATGGTGATTTTCAATAGCTATGTAACAAATTACCAGAGGGTAAAACTCATTATCATCCCATTATTAACCATTAAACGACCATTTATAGTGGGTAAATCACCATTTTCCAATGTTCAATTGCATATGGGCTATGATCAATCCCTGTGGTTCCTGGTTATCTCCCAATTCTTATCGCATCACAGGTGATCCGGGGTGAACCCAAATGACCAGGAGGTTAATGGCCGTTTCAAGTCTAGCGACTTATTGGAGATACCTACCCAATATATATATATATATATTAAATATCCACAGACACGTACATACATACATGTATCTATATATGTATTTGAATATGTATGTATATAAGTCCCATGTAAGGGCTATGTATGGGGGGACATGACCCCCAAAAAGTAGCCTTAAATGGTACAGCCTGCAGTGCCTGCAGTTTAGCTACGTAACTTCTTTGGCATCAACCATTTTTGTTATTTCGGTCATGCAGGTGTGTCCCTTTGTTGCCTGCTGGAAGCTACGTAGAAACAACATAATTGACACCATCAAGAGAATGAATAGTCCTGACATAGATGAATATACGCATATGCGAATAAAGTGTGCGTTGAGAGAGAGATATATATATATAGGCTCAAGGCTGGGGGTTCCCCGGAGCTTCGAGGAACCCTCAGTCTTGATGCTATACCAGAAAGGTCGTTCTTGTATACAGATGTGGGGGGGTGGTGGGGGGTGTAATAACGTCATGTGAAGTGCGTTGGATGATGTTGAATCCTGGAAGATGTTGCTTGGTTGGAAGATGTTGCTACGTTGCAAGTTTCGTTGTTGTTTACAGAAGGGGGGGTGGGGGGGGCTGTAATAACGTCATGTGAAGTGCGTTGGATGATGTTGAATCCTGGTGTTGCTTGGTTGGAAGATAAAATTGGGGGGGTGGTGGGGGGTGTAATAACGTCATGTGAAGTGCGTTGGATGATGTTGAATCCTGGAAGATGTTGCTTGGTTGGAAGATGTTGCTACGTTGCAAGTTTCGTTGTTGTTTACAGAAGGGGGGGTGTTCATGTGAAGATGAAAAATATGTGATGTTCATTTCGTCCATGGTTCTCCAGTGGATTATGACATTTTGTACTTATCAACAAAAACTGAAAAAATGTATGAAACCGCAATTCCAATGGGAAAAATGTTGAACGCATTTTTGGCCATCCATGGAAGATGTAAATTTATCATTTGTCTGCGCGGACAAACTCCGAGTTTATCCGCGCCGACATTGATACTTTCAGTGATGGAACACTTTCAAGGGAAGGCAAAAAACACTGTAAAACACAGTATAAAATCAACATTTTCCATATCCATACAATTAAATTGCAATTGGCTTCCGGGGAACCCCCAGCTTCCGCCCTATATATATATATATACTGTATACATCAATAGAAGCATCATATTTGGGTTGTAGACCCCCAGCTTTGAGTCATACTGTGTTGTTTCGACTTTACCTAAGGTCAGCTGGAGTGCTCTCCCATTCCCCCACGATCTGAGGCTCAAATGCGGCCCAAGGATCATGGCTCTGGTGAAGAGGGGCCGCAGCTTGGTGAAAAGCTATGCTGGTTTGGCATGGAATGGTTGTGTTCATCATTGGATAAAAGCTATGCTGGTTTGGCATGGAATGGTTGTGTTCATCATTGGATACATATTGAAACCCGGAGACCGGTATATTTCAGAGGCAAAAACCATGGTTTCTGGCTAGCATTTTGCCCTTCAACCGATCCAGTGAGTTTATACAAAATGAAATACATGTTGATCTGTTAGTTTGAAGTAATTGGTGAGCAAGATTGGAAATGTTCGATCTGTTCGTTTGAAGGAAATGGATGTAAGCCTGGCTCTTTCTAGCCTCTGCTGGTTGCTAACCATTACAGTATTGTAAGTTTGCAAAATCAACCAGACGATATGTTAGTTGGTTGGACACCCTATGTTGCGCAACAAATCAACCCCATCCACCCCTGCTAAGGTTCTCCTCAGTGGTGAAATGGTTTCACGGACAGCTGGGAGAATGCGGGAGGGAGCCACCAGTCAGCTTTGGATCATGTCAGCACTGCGACTTTGCTACTGAATGGTACAATGGACATGTTGTTTTTTGAGAAGCGGGGAGCAGGTCTACTAGCTTTTTGTTAATCAACCACAAAATTCATGTACCGGGCACTATATTTTTCTCGGTTGATATGCGTTTAGTGTGGCACCAATACGTGCATTGAAGCGCCAATCGGCGGTGAGGATAAAGATCTTGACGCAGCAGTGTTTTGTCGGTATCTCAGTAGAGCCATGGGTGGAGGAATGTCGCAAGGTAAGCCCTTCCTCCTAATAGAAAGCGCACGACAACTAGTACAAAGCCTGGTGGAATGTGGTTTATTTTGTAATTTTATCCGGTCCCTTTTATGAAGAGGTATATATAATTACTAGAAAAATGAGGCTACACAATGACTACGTGACGACATATGTTCAATGAGAGAGGCTCTATTCTGTTCCAGCATTGTCGCCGGTGGCGAAATTCAGCACCTCAAAGATGCAGAGTTTCAAGTCTACATTTCCATGGCATAGATTTCAGTTTTTTTTTTAATGTTTGTTTGTTGTAGTAACCAGTTGCTGGTATTCTACTTGTTTGGTAGCAAAAACTCGACTTAGACAGGCCATGGAGTTAGTTGACTGCTGGCCATGGGTCATTCATCCCATTGTAACAAGCTATAGCTGGCTATATGGGTATTTCATGGGTACCCAGTTACCACCAGAAATTCCATGGCGATTCAGCCACATAGAGATTATTAAATAGATGGTTCATATATGGTTCATATATGGTTCATATATGGTTCATATAAGCCCTCTGTAGGTGGTTGATAAGCCCTTCATAAATTCAAGGGTAACCTTTGGGTTGAAGCCGATTTGAATCGAGGCCTCGCAAAAGACCGGGGAAAGCTGCAGCACTTGTCGTCTCTCCGCTGTGTCTCAAATGGCTGAGCAAGATGTTAGGAATCGATGGTGGCATATATATATATGAATGATATATGATGATATATATATGGGTATGATTTGGTAACTTGGCAAAAACGCAATTCGATGTGTAGTAGGCCAGTACGCTATATATATATATGCTTTTGATATGTTGCTTGGGTGAGACCAATAAATAGCTTGTCGATGTTTAAAACTTTTTTCCGCCGTAAAAGAATAGTGTTGATCCCAGTGAAGCCTAAGTCCTGCGAACATCGTGGGGATCGCGTTTCCATGTTGTTTCCGAGAAGTATCGAGAAGTTGAAGGCCCGCCCCGGGAGTTCGGGCGCTTGAAGTGTTCTAATTGTATTGCGATTTGCTGCGCACTTTTGAGGCACGCAGATAGCATTAGATAGCAAGAATGAAGATGTCTCTGTTGATCTTGATCCAATCAGCATCAACTACAACATGTGCTTCGTTGTGTGTCCAGCCCCATTTGTAGTGTTTTTTTGCTTGATTAAGATCGAGACGCGTTCTGCATCAAACCGTTGTGCAGAAATTTGACATCAATCAATTCGGACGTTGCCTTGTGGCTGCCGTCCATGCCAGCTCTATCCAGCTCTGTCATTCTTGGCTTGGTGAATGGCAACAATTGACCCCGTTTAGGGAGACCTTAGTGGGGTAGGTTTAGTTTCTTGTCGCGTTTTGTAACATAAATAAAGGCCACATGGCGGGTATGTGCTATGCACGCTGAAAGCTGATGAAAATTGGTTTTCTGTTCGCAGGGTATCTAAGATTAGCCGCCATACTTGGATGTTATTTGTGATCCCCTTTCTCCCATCACTTCAATGATCAACGCGAATCTCAGGACCCTAACTGTAGGTACTGTGCCATATAAAGGCATACTTTGGAGATATTCCCTTGCCTTCTAATAGGTACCTCTAATTTAGATCCCTGAAGTCACCACCCATCTTCCATTGCACAGGGCGGTGCTGACTTAGTCAGCCAACTTGGGATTTTAAGTTGTAGAGTTAAGTCGGGTAACTATAGCTGGTTGGTGGTTTCAAACATTATTTTCCATAATATATGGGATAATCCTTCCCAAGTGATTAATATTCTTCAGAGGGGTTGAAACCACCAACCAGATAGGGATTGTGGGAGATATATCCATTAAACCAACTTAATACTGGAGAGGGCACAATGGTTACGACGGCCGAGATACCCCCATGTTCCGCATGGAGTTGCCACACTATGGCTGAAGATAAAACATTCAGTGAATCGTAGGATGCTAAGGTCTACTGTAGTCAAAAATCATGTGGTTCAACCTTAGCCTTTTCGGATCTTTTGAGTTCTGACCCGCATATCCTCAGGTGACGCAACCATGAATTTGTAAGGCGAATGACTGACATGACTGACCTTGTAGCTGGTGATGGCGGTATTCTCAAGGTGTTTCGAGATGGACATCCTGAACAATACTCTCCCTGCAGGAAGGGGTCCCATAGTCAGCTAAGTTGGTGCACATCGCCAGCTAAGCTGACTGATATCTTTGTTAACTGTTTTTTGGGGGATATATCGAACTAGTTAGATGGGGTTAAAAACCAAGAAACATAACTAGGAGGCACCGTCCCGGCTCCGAATGCCTTGTGAAGAAGTATTTGGACTATGATGTTAGGGGGTTGAAGTCCTTTCTCAGCAAGCATCTGGATCCGTAGAGTTTTATTTTTGATTGTGATATAATGTGGTAAAGCCAATAAAAACATGTGGATATATGCTTTGGATGTATGAGATGGATTGTATGTTAAACCTTGAAAGAACATGTGGATTTGTGCATAGTACGGGTGTATAATATGGCTGTTGTATGTATGTAATATATGGTTCACTGATATTAATTTGTCAAAGGTGAAACTGCTCCTTCCCCCCCCAGATCAAATTCCACCCCCACATCCAGGCTCCCAAAATGAACAAATGGTCATTCCAAACCAGGGTCTCTGGGGGTCGCAAAAGGTGAGATGCATAATTTTATATACATATACATTCCTTTTGGATTTGGATCCTTTCGGTTGTTCCTATATGTTTAAATCAGTATGTTCCTCAATCAGTGGCTCCATTTCGCCCACCAGACAGCAACGGCCGCGATTGAATCGCCTGGGCGTTCCATGCGAAACCAGTCGTGGATGTTTCGGAAATTGGAGCGGCTGGAATGGTCCACGTAACATATTCAAAAGGGGCTTGGAAGATATGTTTCCACTAACAAAATGTTCAGGGTCTACGATGTCTAGGGAGAGGGTAAGCGTTTATTGCTTACATACTCATCTTAGGTGTGTCTGAAACTACATCATATCCCCATGTTGCATCAAGTTGCATAGTGAAAATGATGGTTAAGCAGTGGCTAATAGGTTTGATGGTGAAGCCACTATTTTTTTTTTGCACCCGGGTGCCCCAATTTGAAGAAACTTCCATAGTGGTTATACCCATGTGATACCCATATTATTAATCAGTTTTGGTTCCCGAAAATGATACCCATATTTGTTACATTATATGTTATAGCCATATGATAATCCATATGATACCAATATTATGAATCTTTATGAACCACTTGTTTTTCCTTTTCCCCCAGTACCCTTGCTGCAGATGGCGTTGATGTCTTGCCGTTACAGTCGTCCTTGCAACTGGCCGGCCTGGAGCTGTCGAAAGAGGCGCTTGCGGCAATAGATAGAGAAAATCGTTTTAAAATAGTGGTAAATCACAGTTCTATCTTTTTGGTGGCTACTGTATATGCATATTAGTTCAATATATATATATATACACATACATATGAACATATATACACACATTTATTTGATTTTGAAAATGTATGCGCGCATGTGTACGTATTTTTGGTGTTCGTACATTTTATATTAGGTACCAGTGACTTAGGACTTGTGAAAGATACCCTGGGGTGGACAAGTCCTATCTCATCATGCTTCAGACCCCCCCTGCACAAGTCCCAACTCATCAGGTGTCCGTATGAGATTAGAAACTATGCTTGATTTTTTTGTGCGGCATGGACCACTCGTAAAACCAGGATGACATAGGAATTAACTAGCAGAAGTATACTAAGATGATCCTAAGTCATCACGCTCGTGTGCTGCAGCTATTTGGCTATTTGGCCCATCTTCAAAAAATATTTTCAAAAATCTGTGATTTTCTTTTTTCTTCCTTCGATTTAAGTACAGGCATCATTTTAAAGCAATTAAATAAAATAAAAAATCTGAATATTTTTTCTGTTTTTTTTCACTTTCATTCTTCTCTGTTGTTTCTGCTGTTTTTTTTCCCGTTGTGCTTCCCTATTGTGGTCCCTGTTGTCTTACCCCGTTGTTCACCCCACTGCGGCGCCACAGGGACTGCAGAGGCGACCGGGAACTGCTCGCTTTCATTTTCCACCAACGCGCGAGCGCGCTCTGGCGCTAAATGCTCACCCCGACTCGTTGCATTGGGATCACCGCCCCGGGGAGACACCACGGGGAGACACAACGGGGAGACACAACGGGGAAACAAAACGGGGAAACAAAACGGGAAACAAAATGGAAAAATGAAAACGAAAAAAAATAGAAAAATTATCTCTATAAATGTTTAATCTATATAATACCTTGAAAACAATGTATGTATATAAATCGAATGAAAAATTGATGACTTAGGACTTGTGCCCATCTTCAAAAAAATATTTCAAAAATCTGTGATTTTCGTTTTTTCTCCTTCGATTTATGTACAGACATTATTTTAAAGCAACTAAATAAAATGAAAAATCTGTTTTTTTTGTTTTTTTCCACTTTTCATTTTTCTCTGTTGTTTCCTGTTTTGTTTCCCCCGTTGTGCTTCCCTATTGTGGTCCCCGTTGTATTACCCCGTTGCACTACCCCATTGTTGGGTCGAAGTCCTCGAGCCAACCGTTGCGAAAACTGATGACTTAGGACTTGTGCCCATCTTCAAAAAAATAGTTTCAAAAATCTGTGATTTTCATTTTTTCCTTCGATTTACATACAGACATTATTTTAAAAGCAATTTAATAAATTCAAAAAATACATACATTTTTTGTTTACTTTTCTCTGCTGTTTCCTGTTTTTTTTCCCGTTGTGCTTCCCTATTGTGGTCCCTGTTGTCTTACCCCGTTGTTCACCCCACTGCGGCGCCACAGGGACTGCAGAGGCGACCGGGAACTGCTCGCTTTCATTTTCCACCAACGAGCGCGCGTTGGCGCAAATTGCTCACCCCGACTCGTTGCATTGGGATCACCGCCCGGGGGAGACACCACGGGGAG